TAACAATGGATCATTAGCACACTGATGGCTGTTTACTGTTCACAGAGAGCTGAGTGATACTAGCAATCACAGCATTGTAAGAGGGGGACAGTTGAACCTGGAGGCTCCACCCCTGTTTAATGATGGACGATTTCTTTTCACAAAGATGGCCTCCTTTACTCCTCTCTCAAACCATCGTTCCTCTCTGTCCAGGATGTGAACATCTTCATCCTTGAAAGAGTGACCTCTGGCCTGGAGAAGAGTGTAGACCTCAGAGTACTGGCCTGATGATGTTGATCTTCTGTGCTGGTCCATCCTTTTGGCCAGTGGCTGTTTAGTTTCCCCAATGTAAGACTGATCACAGCCCTCCTGACACTGAACAGCATACACAATATTTCTCTGTTTGTGCCGGGGGACTGGATCTTTGGGATGAACCAGTCTTTATCGTAATGTATTTTGGGGTTTAAAAGATGCGAATAGGAGCGGATTTGCCACAAAATATAGCAGAAATCAGCAACAAACTCAAAACTACGCTCGGCAGAATGCAGATCTTAAAGTCATCTTCCTGGAAGCTGCAGCAGAGGCGTTCCAGTGGGCAGAAGAGGAAGCGCTGCTCCTAGCTTAAGAGGACAGGATTCCGGGCTGGGTTTATGTTGAGGCTACGAGCTAACGCTAAAGCCGGAAAACTCCCGATGCCATCTCTCTTTCTGTCGAACGTCCGCTCATTAGACCACAAGATGGATTTGCTTCGTCTGAGAGCGGGCACTTCCGAAGAGATGATGAAGTGTGTGGTGCTTTGTCTCACAGAAACGTGGATTACAAGTGAAACACCGGATACAGTCTTCCAGCTGGATGACAGACTTTTTTTTTCCGAGTGGACCGCTGCAGCGAGCTAACGGGGAAATCACGGGGAGGCGGAGTGTGCATTTACGTGAGTAAAAGTTTGTGCACGAACTGTACTGTTGTAAATATCTCATGCTCGAAGGCTTTGGAGCAAATAACAGTGAAGTGTCAGCCTCATTATTTACCTCGCGAGTTCACAGTGACTTTCATCACAGTTATTTACATTCCTCCGGATGCTAATGCTAATGACGCCTTGCAAGAACTTCATGATATAATCAGTTCTCTGCAAAACAAACACCCTGAGGTGCTTTACGTGGTAGCCGGAGACTTTAATCACGTGAATCTAAAGGACTGTCTCCCTAGCTTTTATGAGCATGTGTACATACCAACACGTGGAGACAACACGCTGGACCGTGTTTACACGAATGTAAAAGATGTATACAAAGCTGAACCCGCCCTCACCTGGGACTGTCAGACCACATCTCAATCTTCATGGCTCCTTCTTACTTGCCCCTGCTGAGATGCTCCAGACCGGTACAAAAGAAAGTTAAATGTTGGATCTAGGACAGTGGCCCCATACTGAGAGATTGTTTTGATCGAAGAGACTGGCAGGTTTTCAGAAAAGCTGCTGAAAATGGAGGATCGCTTGATCTGGACCAATACGCATCTTCAGTTCTGGGTTACATTAGTACATGTACTGACACCGTCTCCACTATACGATATGGTAAAAGCTACCCAAACAGAAAACCTTGGCTGAATGCAGAGGTGCGCACCCTGCTGGAAGCCAGGAACACTGCCTTCAGGTCTGGAAGCTCAGAGGAGCTGAGTAGGAGAAAGAAAGAGCTGGTTGCTAGTATTAAGAAGGCCAAAGTCACATATGCACAGAGGGTCAATTCATCTCACAAGACCCTCGGAGCATGTGGAGGGGCATTAAGTGCATAACAGATTATAAAGGAAGGAGCGAACAATGCCTCAAAGACCCATCTCTGCCTGATGCCCTCAACAAGTTCTATGCCTGCTTTGACGACCCGAACAGACCACCCAGCACCAGACTCACCTCACCACCGGATGAAGAGCATCTCAGCATGACCTCAGCAGAAGTAAAGTGTACTTTCAGGAGGATTAATCCACACAAGGCAACCGGCCCAGACAACATCCTCAGAAAAGTATTGAAAGAATGGGCCGATCAGCTCTGTGAGGTACTGGCAGACATCTTTAACACCTCATTTACCCTGGAGACAGTTCACACCTGTCTGAGGACTGTCACCATCATCCCAGTCCCAAAAAGCTCTACAGTGACTGGTCTGAATGACTATCGGCCAGTGGCCCTCACCCCGATAGTTGCTAAATGCTTTGAAAAACTGGTCAAGACTCGCATCAAAACAACCATCAACATCAACGAGGACTCTCATCAGTATGCATACCGTGAGAACCGAACAACTGGGGATGCCATCTCCTCTGTGGTCCACACTGCGCTCAACCACCTGGAGCAGAAAAACTCTTACGTCCATATGCTCTTTGTGGACTTCACATCCGCCTTCAACACCATGATCCCCCAAACCCTGATGGACAAACTATTCACACTAGGACTAAGCCCCTCGATTTGCAACTGGGTACTAAACTTCTTAACAAACAGACCACAGTCAGTGAGGATCCACAACTTCTCCTCCTCCACTATAACCCTCAGCACTGGCTCCTCAGGGATGTGTGTTGAGCCCCCTTCTGTTTACTCTGCTCACGTATGATTGTGCAGCTACCCATCCAGGCTGTCACATTGTAAAGTTTGCAGATGATACAGCGGTGGTGGGATGTATCACAAACAATGATGAGTCCAGCTACAGGCAAGAGGTGGAACACCTGGAGAGCTGGTGCAGAGAGAATAACCTTCACATCAATGTGAAGAAGACAAAGGAGATGATTGTGGACTTCAGAAGGAACAAAAACACCTACACCCCCCTGAACATAAGACGATCTGCGGTGGAAGTGGTCTCCAGCTACAAGTACTTGGGTGTACACATGAATGACAACCTCAGCTGGAGCAACAACACCACCAGCCTGAGCCTGTAACTGGGACCCTGTATACATAATTTCGCTCCACCACATGTACCACATGAGGTGCGAATGACAATAAAGAATCTCTGGCTCTGACTCTTAAAAGCCACTGGGACGTTATGTTTAGAAAATAAACGTCTCAGTTTCTCTGATACTCCCGCAACTTATGGAATGACCACTGGTCATTGGAACTTGATATATTTATCCACAAATTTATCCATTGTGGATAAATATATGAAGTTCACACGAGAAGATGTAAATAATGGCAGGCTGGCTTTCATGGACTATGAGGTCTCAGTTTCTGATAGAGGACATTTGCAAACTGAGGTGTACCGCAAACCCACCCACACAGACCAATATTTTCAGTTTGACTCCCATCACCCTTTGGAGCACAAGTTAGGAGTCATCAGGACTCTGTACCACAGAGCAGACATCGTCCCCACTAACTCAGGAGCCAGGCAGAAGGAGAAATCCCACACAAGACAGGCTCCAGAGCAATGTGGATATCCTAACTGGGCCTTCCTGAAAGCCGAAAAGAAACCCAAGCAGGACTCCAGCCAGCCATCAGGTGAAAAGGAGGAACACAGACCCAGACCAATGCTCATTCCATTTGTTGCGGGAGTATCAGAGAAACAGATGTTTATTTTCTAAATCTTAACGTCCCAGTGGCTTTTAACTAGGGGTTGAACGAGTATATGTAGTGGACTAGGCCTGATGTCGAAACCTTGACCTTAGGCACCTTGTGGGACAGAAACTGTCATTTCATTGATTTGAATCCAGAAATACAGGTTCACCCATCCTGAGACTTTCTTTCTTGAAAATTCAAGTGAAAGAACACTCTCTTTTCTATTATCATTACTGTTTTACAAATGTTTGATAATCAAAGTGTTTTAGTTCAACCATTTTAGATGTTGCAGTGAACTAATCATTTTTAATTAACTGTGAAAACAGTAACAATGATTTTTTAATCCTCATGCAAAGTTAGAATTCATGTTAAGGCCTGTTACAGAGTAATTATGCATTTTCTGATTTCCTGTCTTTGAATGAGCAGTGTACGTTTGCTCCAAGGTCGGAGTCGAAGCAGACAAGTGTTGGAACAACTGTCTTGTTTTTAAATCCTCTCAGACGTAAACAGAGAAGTTGGCACCTGTTTCTCCAAACTCGCCCAAACATTTCTCTCGGCTGTCTGAAAAACATTTTCAATCTGTTCCATAACATTCTTGCTGTTTTCTGACTTCTAGTAACCTTTTACGTCACAAAACACACCCCTGTCTGGTCGACATTGACCAATAAGAAAACTCCCAAATGAACCAGAAATAGAGCCCTTTAAAATGTCGGTACTTCCTAGTTCTCTCAGATTTGATAGTGTCCTGTGAAGTGGCAGTTCTGTGAGTTGCCGTTGGAGTCGGGCTGGAGAGTTTGCAGCTCCAGTCGTTTGGGAGAACAGAAGTCCAGCCATGATAAGGCTCTTCCGAGATTGGGATTATAACATCTTCCACCTCTGAGTGGAACTCGGACGAACCCCACTCATGTGAGGTCCACTGGCTGAGGTGAACTTGTGTCAGACGGAATATCGTCACTACTTCGGACTAGTCACAGCCATCCTATGGAGACGCTGGACAGGTAGCGTTAACTGGAACTCCGTATCCGCTGATTAATCTTCAGAAAGGTAACAAGTCAAGTTCACTACCGAGCGTACCGAGGAAAGCTGGGTTCGAATGGAGTGTGTCGGTTCTGGTCAACACTTCCCCTCACACACCATCTTTTACTCCCTTTAAACTTCATTTTCCATCTTTAAATCCTTCTATCAAGTAGAAATCCTTCCAGATAATTTAGAAATGTCTGTGTAAAGTGCTCATCCACCGCCGTGTGGATACTTGATCATAATTGTACAGCTTACTGATTAATTAGGTTATTTTCATATTTTGCCAAATTAATGTAAATGTTTGATGTAAACTTTGATTCCGTAAATAAATGACCACATTCATTTTGATGGGTCAAAGATAAATAACGTCTCACGTTACATTTTATTAAATTCAATGCACGTTTATATTCAGTCCAGAAAAATGAAAGAATCCGTTTTAATCAGGTGAATATCTCAGGATATGTTCATCTACATATATAATTTTTAAACTCAACATTAACATAATAAAACCCAAGTAGAACTCGAGTATTTGATGACGTCATAGATCTCAAGATACAAAAATAAATAAATAAAACCGCAAAAAAAGGTAATTATTTAAAACAAAAAAAACATTGGGAGCATATATTATGCTCCTACCATTTATCATACTGCAAATAAGTCACAGGAAAAACTAAACTATTATTATTATTAAACTGCAAACGTGAAGAAACGTGCAGCACATCAAAGACGAAACTTAAACCGAAACTGGCTCTGGTTCGGTGGATTGGACCCGGTGTTACACCATACTCTGTGACCTGCAACAGTGCAACACCGCCCCCTACGGTCATACGGTGGTCACATAATATGACGTCACTACGGATACTCGATTTTAAATTTTTAACCTCGATAGAGGTCCTAGCAATCGATGTGTAGATAACTCGAGTACTCTGTTAATGCCCTACTTTTAACCCCAAAATACATTACGGTAAAGACTGGTTCATCCCAAAGATCCAGTCCCCCGGCACAAACAGAGTAATATTGTGTATGTTGTTCAGTGTCAGGAGGGCTGTGATCAGTCTTACATCAGGGAAACTAAACAGCCACTGGCCAAAAGGATGGCCCAGCACAGAAGATCAACATCATCAGGCCAGGACTCTGCGGTCTACACTCATCTCCAGGTCAGAGGTCACTCTTTCAGGGATGAAGATGTTCACATCCTGGACAGAGAGGAACGATGGTTTGAGAGAGAAGTAAAGGAGGCCATCTTTGTGAAAAGAAACCGTCCATCATTAAACAGGGGCGGAGCCTCCAGGTTCAACTGTCCCCCTCTTACAATGCTGTGATTGCTAGTATCACTCAGCCCTCTGTGAACAGTAAACAGCCATCAGGTGCTAATGATCCATTGTTAGGCTGATGGTCCTTCTTGAGCATGTGATCAGCTGGTTCTGGTTGTCAGCAGCAAACTGGTTGATCCACTCTGAGAAGGTGCTATTTATAAGACTGAGCTGAATACAGCACCTCAGACTGAAGAAGTCTTTCGGATGAGAGACGCAATGTTTCTACATTTTTTTTTTTGAATGTCCAGAGGACCAGATTTAACTTTTTTTTAGATTTTTCTACCTGGATTATGGAGCATGCATCAGGATATTTATTGAACTGTCTACACTACTACAGCAAACATAGGAAAATATTATAATATACGTCAAATGTACATTTTAAAATGTGAGAAATGGGATGAGTTTTGAAACACTGATAAACCAGATATTCCTCTGGATACCCTGCTTAAAATCATCTATTACATCCATGGATTTCGACCGACATCACTCGTAGTCAACAGTAGTTTAATTTGACTCAAAGAAGAAACGCCACTTTTGTCATCAGTTCAAAAAAGTAGTTTGACTTTTGTAGATAAATTCTCCATTCACGTTTTTTTTTTCTTATGTTTACAGTTTGAAGCAGGCTTCATGCATCGATTCCTTTTTGTGGTGTATTTTTTGTGGCAGCATCACAGCACCCCCATCAGGTCTGGCATAGTTACTGCAGCATTTGAGTTGTTTTCTGATTCCATGTGCTTGAAAGCATTTATAAAAATGATCCTGTGTTTACGATAAAATTGATCGTTTAAGAAAAACTGCATTCCTGTGTGGACAAGACATATTTATCTGGTCCTTCTTTATTTTGAAAGTTCTGAGGTGGTCCTTTTTTCACTCAGCCATTACATTATGATCATTGTTTATAATCATCCTGAATCATCACAGAACTCACTTCAGATCTGTGAATTTTTTGTAGCACCATCTCTCTGCATTGTTTTTGTGACATAAATCCCTACCAGTGGCCATGTTTCCTGTCAATCAGCCAGCTTCAACAGTCTGTTAAGATGTCTCTTTTAACTACAGTCAACTTCATATTTAGAAGTTTTTCATATTTCAGTTTTGTTTGGTGTTTCCTCAGACTGATGAAGCCCTTCGGATGAAGGGCGAAACGTCTCAGCACAAAAAAGAAACCATCCAGATGACCTAACTGAACATTGTTGGATTTTATACATGGATTATTGAGCCGGGACTTTGATGTTCATATTTGTTCATATTTAGACTTGTGTAAACTGGTCAACAAAAGCAGTAGCAGCAATAATGTCAAAATAATTACCCAAAAATATTTACCTTGGCTCCTCCAGCTCAGGTACCAGGAAGTTCTCTACCCAGCTAGCATCTCTTTCGCTGTAGGAAATGAAGGCGTCAAAGGAGAGTAATGGTTCTGACTCCTCAGCACGTTTGCTTTGTCTCTGGGAACTTCTCTTGGCCTTGAGCCACGCCCAGATCATCTTTAGGTACCAGAAGGCATGCAGGCGCCAAAGTACAACAGACATCAGCATCACCACAAACAGAGCAAGACCACAGATCACAGAGACAAACAAGACTTGGTGGCACACAACAACAGAGAGGTGGACTTGGCTCACTGCCTCCCCCTGCAGGTAGAATGGGGAGTCGCAGACATAGCTGTCCTCTCTGTCAGTTAACTTAACGTCTCCACTGCCTTCAAACTGCGATTGGAGGAAGCTGACAAAGTCACAAGAGCAGATGAATTTGTTCTCGCCTGCCTGGAGGTTGTGGAGTTGTCTGAATGATTGGAGGTCTGAATGCCCGAACCAGTTCAGGGTGTTTGACTGTAAAGAAACGGTCATGTGATGGTTGGTTACAGAGCAGCCTGGATCAGAAACATGATTGTTTCTCACCTGTATTGTCAGAGTTTGAAGATTGGGGAAGAGCCGCCCAGCCAGTAACCTCAGGAACTTGTTCCCAGAAAGGTGGAGCTCTATTAAGATTGGCAGAACCACGTTGAAACATTTAAGATCGTTGAAGCTCAGGTCCAACACCTGAAAAAAAGAAGTATAAAAGTTATATCCTGTTGTCAAACTGTTTGTGTCAGATGGTCTGATGGGATTGGTTTTTTTTTTCCAGGATCTGACCTCCAAGGATGTTGGTAGGCAGGAAGTGATGGTGGTAAGCTTAGCCCTGGAGATGTTGAGATACCTCAGGGTAGTCGGCCATGAGCAACTCAATGGCATGGAGCTGTAGCCAGTCCTGCTGATGTCCAGGTGGGTGAGCTTGGTGAGCTTTGATACCAGTCGGCTCATCGTGGACAAAGACTAGTCAAAAATGCACAAATGTCAAAACTGCATAATTTTGATGACTGGTAAATTGCACAAGTTTGACTTTAAGCATCCTGGTGACACCTTCAGAGGGTTTCCACTAATGTTCAAAACTCTGAGATCCTTTAACGTTTTGTTTTTTTCACAGAGCGATTCCACCAGAGTCAGGTCGGTCAGCAGATTGTCAGAAAAGTCCAAGTACTGCAGGTTCACCAGCAGATGGGAAGTTGCACATGGCATCACATACACCTAAAGGTGAAATTCACAACTTTTAAGGTCTCACAAAGGAAAAACTACAAAAATAAAACACAACAATGACAATCCAAAAAAGTTCAATCTGGTCCTCTGGACATTCAAAAAAAAAAAAAAAAAAAGCAAAAAAATGTAGAAACGTTTC